AGGAGTTGTACCCTCTACCCTCCATCAAATGGTGAAATTTGAATACGAGGATCAGGAGATCGTGGTTCACTGAGAGGATGAACAACCAAACTATCGGGACCCATCTGTCCCATGCCTAGAAGCGAGGGAAGGCAGTGAACACATAGTTTACCAAGCATTCGAAATTGTGGTGGCGGACCAGCATGAAAAAGGAAACCCGTGTCCCCAACCCTTCCTATCCAATGCCTCGATTATGGTGGCCAAAGAAATGATCAGACATGGTTTCAAGCCAGGGAAAGGACTTGGAAAAGCTCTGCAAGGAATATCTGGACCAGTGACCCTACCAACAACTGAAAAGTTCTTCGGGATAGGTTTTCACCCCACCCCAGATGATGTAGAGTGGGCGAATGAGAGAAAGAAAGAGGGATGAGTCTTGCCACAGCCACTGCCACATTTGTATGGAACCTTTGTCAAGCCGAAGTACAGTGAGGAGGAAGATGATGAGGCCTTTACGGCCGAAGAGATTGAAGAGATATGTGGGGCAATGAGAAAGATATTATACGAAACCCACATGGTTCAGCCGGGAGAGGGCACTAGCACTGCTGAGGTGTTATACATGGGACCAAGCACCAAGCTTCAAAATTGGAAGGCTCCGCCGTTTTCGATCAGGCGGGAGTCCCGGTTGACCTGTCCTGCTACTCTTTCTGCATCCCGAGTTACTCCAGGGTGTAACTCGGATGTTTCTTTTAGTTTTTTGTCTTTAAATTTCCCAATGTAAACCCTGTTTGTCTTCCCAATTCCAAGAAATGAAATCAATATTTCATCATTTTTCTCTTTATTCTTTCTGATTTTCTTTTATTTCTTCTTTTCAGTTATAATAATGCGGCTTTAAATAACATGACATGCTTGCGGACTGCATGCCCAGATCCGAACATGCTGTCTAATTGTGAAATAATGAACCAAGATCCAGAATATGATGAAGAAGAGGTTTTTAGGAAAGTAAATCGAGAATTGGAACAACTTGGGAATAAACCCAAAGCCAATGGTGCCGTTGAAGCAGCCAACAAGAACATTAAGAAGATTTTGAGAAAGATGATTCAGAGTTCCAGACAATGGCATGAAAAGTTGCCTTTTGCACTACTGGGATATCGCACCACGGTGCGCACATCGGTGGGAGCAACCCCATACCTGTTGGTTTATGGAACCGAGGCTGTTATACCCGCAGACGTAGAAATCCCTTCTCTCCGGATCATCGTGGAAGCAGAAATCGAGGATAGTGAATGAGTCAAGACTCGTCTGGAACAGTTGTCTTTAATTGATGAAAAACGGATGGCCGCGGTCTGTCACGGGCAGTTGTACCAACAAAGAATAGCCCGCGCTTATAACAAGAAAGTGCGGCCCAGGAATTTTGAATTAGGACAACTTGTGTTAAGGCGCATTCTTCCACATCATCAGGAAACAAAAGGAAAATTTGCTCCTAATTGGAAAGGTCCATACATCATCCGAAAAATACTGCCGAGAGGAGCATTGTATCTGGGAGACATCGAAGGAAATGATCCCGAAGCAGCAGTCAATGCGGACGCAGTAAAAAGATACTATGTTTAGGCTTGCTGCGGTGATTGACTTTTGTGCAATTGAGATGACGAAGGCTTTCCTTCCCGCTATCCAAACACTATCAACCCCTTGCAAACCCATTTGAGCCGGTTATTCTTCTTTGATTGCCCTCTTTGGAACCCGAAAGTACTATTGAAAAAAAAGAAGAAAAAGGAAAGAAAAAAAAGAAAAAAAAAAGAAAAAAAAGAAAGAAAAAAAAAGAGAAGAAAAGAAAAGAAAATGAAAAAAGAAGAAGAAAAACAAAACAAAAAAAACAACAAAAAAAAACAATTATTTTTCCTGAACTACGTCTGACTTGATTCCGAAAGGATACGTAGGCAGCCTCTCCCTGGGGTTCAGTCACACCAAAACAAAAATCTCAATTCTCTCAAAAAAATAAAACTGGGGCAGATGATATAATGGCTCGGCCATGAGCCCACCAAAATGATTCCGAAGTTGTAATTCCATCCAAGATTCTTTTTACCCAAAAACCTTGTCCAAGTCCTTCCGATCAATTGGCAAAGGCGTGGGAATTGAAAACATCATTGTTGGAATCTGATGCAATCAAATTGAGAGAAATAAAATGAGAGTCTTATCGGTGAAAACCTACGGGCACCATAAGGCGACGGTGAGTAGAGAAATTGAAAATGAGAGAGTCCGCTTAGTGAAAACTCGTAAAGAGCACTATCGGGCGACGGTGAGAAGAGAAATGAGAGAGGTCGATTGGCGAAAACCCGCAAAGGGCGCCGTCGGCCGAAGAGAAGACATCTCCCACCACTGAAAGAGTCCTGGCAAGGTTCCCTGGTTTTGAGACACGGGTCAATGAGTTTACGAGAAGTTGGAAAGTTTGTGCGGGTCGGGCATCCAGTCCAAGAAGCATGTCATGTTTATTTGAAGCTTGCATGCACCCCCAGATAAGTCCTTCTCTTCCCCCCGAAAAGGACGTTTCTCTTTAAATTCATCTTATTGCGTACTTTTTCCTTGAATCCCTTTCGGTCTAACGCTGATTCTGAAACTATTACGAAGAAAAGGTGGCAGGACTGGCTTTACAGGGCTCTCCCTAACAAAAGCTAAAGAAAAGTACCCAGCCTCAGCAGGTGCATCAAGCCAATCCCGACTGGCCATGATGGCGGATGCTTTAAAATCAAAGTTTATTGAAAGAGACAAAGAAAGTCGAGGACAAAGGTCTTAAAGGTAGAATAAAGCGAAAGAGTCGAGGCCCCATACGGGCGAGTCGTCATGAAATTCCAAAAGTCGAGCCTTTCGGTTTAAGGAGAGATTCATCTTCAAAACCAGCAAGCAGCAGAGGTTCTCAATAGAAGCTGGGCCGAAGTCAAGAAATTGGGACGATCAAGGCCACAAAACCAACCACCGTTTCAAACTAACAAATTGTTCTTTGTTTGAAAAGTTGAAAGAGGTGTAATCCAAAGCAACCATGCAAGAAGCAGGTGTAATTAAAAAAATGTGCAAGAGCTAGAAGCAGCCTCGCAACAATAATCAACTCGAAAGGAAGTTTCCTTAAAAAATCTTTCCTGCATCTTTACTAAAAAAAATAAAAAAAATAAAAAATCCAAAATCATGGTAGCATAGGGCCCCTTTTCCTAGGTATCCCGGCATAACCCGCGGACCTCCCTGGCATAACCCAAGGACCTTTTTTTTATCCCGGCATAACCCGTGGACCTCCCTGGCATAACCCAAGGATCTTTTTTCTTTATCCCGGCATAACCCGTGGACCTCCCTGGCATAACCCAAGGACCTTTTTTATCCTGGCATAACCCGTGGACCTCCCTGGCATAACCCAAGGATCTTTTTTCTTTATCCCGGCATAACCCGTGGACCTCCCAGGCATAACCCAAGGATCTTTTTTCTTTATCCCGACATAACCCGTGGACCTCCCTGGCATAACCCAAGGACCTTTTTCTTTTATCCCGGCATAACCCGTGGACATCCCCGGCATAACCCGAGGACCTTTTTCTTTTCCGGCATAACCCGGTCATTCTCCAGCATTACCTGGTAACCCCCCTAGTTTAAGGCTTCATTCCCAAAGATACACAATCCTAATTTTATTGCTTAGATATGTGTCACAAATAACTCACGAAATTTTTCCTAGTGAAAACTGGGGCAGAAAAATTTCGTTCGTTTGTTTGTTTTGGTGTCTGAGCAGGTTTGACCTCGAGGCATAGGATCCGAGGTAGCTGAAAGAATGAGTCTCCACCCAGAATAAAGAAAGGAAGAAAAGAACAAGAAGAAGTGACTTCAAAATGCTGAAGCGGACAAAGATGCGGACTGCTCAAAACCTGACTGAAGTCATAAGCTCCGCGTGTCCCGCTTTGATCCTATGCTGAAGAAAGAAACAACACCTACAACTTGCGAGCATCAAGATTCAGATCGGAGTCCACAGCAAAATCAGCTAAGGCTCAAGATCAAGTTTCAAGAAAATTATAGATAGGAATTTTGTAACTCATAGTTGATAGGCATAGCTAGCTTAGCTTTGATTTTCCTTTTTGGTGTAATAAGGAGGTCAGCAAGCAGTAGCAGTGAAATCACAGCTCCTGGTAGTCCCAGCTACCACACCTTCCAGAACTACACTGACCTGATTCCTTTATAGCCAAGGATATGTAGGCAACATCTGAAACAGAGTTCGGTCAGATGGTTTTCAAAAATGCTTCTCAGGGAGTGCCAAGCAGGCTTAAATCTCTCATAATTGCTCATTTATCTTTGCCCGAAAACCCTTCGTGTCTCCGAGCAAAGAGGGGCAGCTGTGAGCACGTGATTTTTGCCTCGCTTGAATTATTCCTATAGAATTCATAAAATTAGGATTTTTCCTTTAATTATTTGATTTTTAGGATTTAATTGCATGATTTGTGTTTGTTTGCATTTTGTGTGCATTTTAATTGATATAATTCATAAAAATACAAAAATAACACATTTGCATTTAGGATCCCATTTTATATTTTTTAGGTTTACTAGTTAATTAACATTACAAGAAATAAGAGAAAATAACAAAAATAGTCCTCTTTGTATTTTATTTTTGATTTTTGATTTTTTTTAGGGTTTAGTTAATTTTTGAAATTAATTAGTTTAGTTGTAGAATTAAATAAGGTCTTTATTCTTAATTTTGTACTAAAAATAAATTAAAAAAAAAAAGAAAGAAGAAAAGAATTAATTGAAAAGAAATAAAAAGAAGAGAGAAACAGGCCAGCCAAATTTGGGCTAGTATTCAAATTAATTGTGCCAGCCCAATTGAAATATCCAATCTCACCCAGCCCAAGCCCAATATTACCACCCGGTCCAGCCCCTTTAATAACAAAACGACCCCGTTTCACCTGCTTTCAATCATGACCGTTGGATCTCATCAATCCAACGATCCGGAACTAACGAGGTTATTTAATATATAACTGTCTGAATTACCCTACCCCCCCCCCTCACTCACCATCTCTCAGAACACCCCAATACACGCCGGCGTAACGCCACCGCCTTCCGCCGCCGGCCGGAAATTGCCTCCGGCCGGCGGCGATTCTCCAAACGACCAAAAAAATACACCATAGCACCTCCTCTTCCTCCTCATTCCGAATCTAGCCTCACTTTCTTTCAAATCCCCCTCAAACATCTCGAATAATCCAAACCCTAGCGCCACCTCCGCCGTGCACGGCGCCGCCGCCTCCCAAACCTTCCCAAAATTACACCCCAGACCCTCCTCACCTTCTTCTTCCCAAATCCCAAACCAGTTTCCGTAAAATCCAACTACAATTACGCGAATTTTAGATCTAGGGTTTGTTCAAGGCTGGTCGAATTCCCAAGGGCTTACCAGTGTCGAATTGAGTTCCAAAATAATGTTATGTGCTTGTTCTTGGCAAGAACAAGCATATAACATTATTTGGGGACTCGATTCAAGGTCAATCGATTAGAAGGCCAAAATTAATATGTTTTTTGTTTTTATTTGATTTTTTATTTCATTTAAGCTCTTGTTTATTTCTTCCTTCTTTGCATAATAATTTCGTTTGTTTGAATGTGATATTCCCTCATTGATCAATCATTCTTCTTGTTGACTGAATTAGGATCCTTAGGGTTTTAATTGATTTTTGTTCTATTGATTCTATTTTTTATTTTATTTTGGTTTGATTTTTTTTGTTCTGTTGATCTTGTCGTTTTTTTTTATTTCGTATTTCTGGTTTAAGTCTGAATTTTTTTTGATGGTTGAAAGCATGATGCTATTCTTTTAATTTGGTGTTTGATTTCGATTGTATGATTCATAATTTTTACTGTAATTTTCAATTTTTATTTGTTTGTTGATAGTTCACTACTTCTTAATCTTAGCCTTAGGACATTAGTATTAATTAGGGTTAAATTTTAGTTAGATTAATTAATTCAATTTTAGGAAATGTTTGGATATAGCTGAATAATCCAGCATTTGTTTTTGTTTAACCATGGTCAGTTTTGACGAAAGTTAACAAGGCTGGATAGTTTAGTAATTTAGGATTAATTCAAGGGTAATTTAGGTAGTTCAACGAAAGAGTAGTGCAGTAACTAAAAATAGAACCCCCTAGAGCCTTCTAGAAGGGGTTCCAATTTGAATTTCAGAAAATTTAGTGATCTAGCTTGGGCAACAAGCCAATAAATAAGGGACTAACTAGCTAAAAACTGAAAAATAAATGAGGGACTTAGGGGGAAAACAGAAATCTGAAGGCTGCACTAAGTTTTGTATATAAATAGGCATGCCTATTGCCTTGTTTCACAAGTTTTAAAATCTGAAAAATCCACACAAGTTTTGAGGGCTAAAAATCTGAAATTCAAATTCAAAAACAAAAGTTTGAAATCTGAGAGTGTGAGAGCTCATTCTAGATCTTAGATCTTCTGAAAACCCAAAAAAAACACAAAAACTCCAAAAAATACTGTTCCATTGAAGTTTCTTAGAATAATTTCAAATTCCAGCTGTTCATTCGAATTTCAGCTTAGATAAGGACGATAATGACCTTAAAATTCGTTGTGTGTTTGGTTGCTGAAGTTTCAGAAGTTTCCTGGGTTTATTTCGAGTCTGCTTTGGCTCAATCAAGTCTATTTTGATTGTTTGTTGGTGCTGTTCCTCCGTAATTCATTCCTGGGCTGCTGTGATACTATTTTGGTTTTAAAATTGATCCTATTGCTGCTGTGTTGCTGCTGATTTTTAACTGCTGATTCTGCTTTGTTGATCCTCACTACTTTCTCTTATTCATTTCTCCAGGTATTCCTTGATCCTTTAGGAACTGCTACCCAAGCATACAAGATGTAATTTGTTTGAGATTTTTATGAAAAGAGGAGCTACTTTCCTTCACACTTTTCATGATTAAACACCTATTTAGAATTCCTGAAGAGTAATAGTCTAGTATAATAGTATTTGGCTAGACATAGTTTGTTTTAGCATGGTGATAATGTATTGGCCTTGATGTTCCTGCCTTCAATTTGTTTAAAACTGATGTATTCTAGCCTTGGATAAACAGTAATGGACTGTATATGTGGACTCTTATATAGAAATGTCTAGTTTTCGATTTTCACATGATTTGTGCAATTGAAAGCTTCAATAGCTTCCCTCTTCGTCTCAGTATAGGAATCACTTCTAAAAATATGTTAAATAAAGCTGGATCTTATTTTATCTTAGGAAGCAAAATTTCAGAATGCAAACATGTTGATGCATCAGTATACATGTGTATGAGCATAAAGTCTGGAGTGAATTGAAACATGCCTATTCCTGTCGTATGGCCTATTTTTTATTTGATTTAGTTTAGCAGTAAGTTCCTTGAATTGAAACCAAGTCTCTAATGTCATGATATCAGTCTTACCGCCTGGATCACTTGGGCTCATAACCACTGGGCCTAATGCGGCCTAGCTGCATAATACTATGCCAAACACTTTCAGCCTTGAGATTAATTTTACCCAGTTGAGCCCATGGGACTCGATTTTAAGCCTCAGGTCCTGCTAGATGTTTATCTGGGCCTGCCCCAAGGCCCAGGCTTTAGACAACTTTACAAACAGTTTTAAAATAAAATCAGACTGTTAACTTTCTTCTTGGGCCGGCTTCGAGGCCCAACAGACTAAAACTCTTATTACATTATTGGAATTGTGGTGGAATTTAAAATATAGGCTTTGGGCTTTCCAAGCTAAGTGGCGAACTTGAATTAAGGGTCTTCAATAATGGAGATTCCCTTGTTTAAGTTCGGACTTGAACTTGAGGCCCGAATTTTAAACGCCCTTAATAGTGTTTATTAATAATGTTAATTAGTTAGGCCTTTAGAGACAATCTATAATAGAAAATAATAGTCCCTTTAGGATGGCCTTAAAAATAAACGAGGTGCGCCGCGCTAAACAAAATTCATAAATTGCGTGGCCCTCTTTAATTACTTCATTAAAATTTTTAGAACTCGGGGCGTGCCATTTAGCGAATTTTTATGGCCTCCCGCAACGTTAATAACACGTTGTTCACTTTAGGCGCGTTCTTTAATAATCTTACCTTCCTAAATTCGGGTGTGCATTTCATGTGACCCAAATCCAAATCCCAGAACGTTGAATAAAATGTGTCGAGGATCCGGGTGCATTTCATGTGACGTGATCCTAAAACATATTTTAAAAACGACGTTCAATTTCCTAAAAATTAATTAAAAGCAGTAAATATTTTTAAAATTGCACTATAGGATAACATGTATTAAAATCAGATTTTTAGCCAATTATAATAGTTTAAGCGACCGTGCTAGAACCACGGGATCCGGGGGTGCCTAACACCTTCCCTCGGGTCAACAGAATTCCTTATTCAGAATTTCAGGTTCGCAGACTCCATCCGAGAAGTCAAAATTTTCCTTGATTTGGGATTCAAAATAAACCGGTGACTTGGCACACCAAAAACCAAACCTATCCCAAGTGGCGACTCTGATCTCTAAATAATCCCATTTCGAATAATGTCACTTAAATTGGAAAAACTCCCTTATACATTATCCTTCGGGGTATGTGTGTAAAAAAGGAGGTGTGACAAACATAAATAATCATTAGTAGCAAATATAAAACTTTAAAAGAGAATGATGTTGTTTGGGAACTCACTGAGTTGTTGTTGTTGATGATGTTTGGCCATCAAATATACAAGGATCTTTACCGAGAGAAGCCAGATGCTAGACTTGCTCACTGTGACTCCATAACATACACAAAAGACTAACTACATGTCAGCAACATTATTTTTCACATAATCAAATAGTAAATCTTTCAGCATACTTGATTTTCAAACTATTTTCTCAAATCTTAAAACAAACAAAAATACCAAAGCATGTAATAGGTAAGTCATTTTTACTATAGAGGCAAATAAAGATTGTCAAAACAAGGATTGCTATAAACTAGTAAAGCCATCTCACCTAATCAACAATAATACTCCCAGAATAGAAGCCCTCTGACATTTGCAAATTAGTGCTCTTTCTTTTGGATGAAAAAGCAAACTAGAATCAACTACTCAACCAAACTTCACACATTACACACCATAGTTAACAAATGACATATAATTCCAATCAGCAGATAAATTTCATAAATGAGATGAAACCCAATAATCGACATGTCTGCAGGAAAACAAAACATAAGGCACTCTGAGTCCTCATGAAATTATACAAACACATGGTTAAATGAAGGGAAATAGAACTACTTCCGCTGAACTTTGAACAACAGATGTAGTTAACTAAATGAAGAATTCCAAAAGTTGATATGGTACACACTCCTAACAGTATGTATCAACATGATAATGAGATGTCAATTTTATGTTTGATTAGGTTGGTTGAACTGCACTAAAACAAACATATAAAGCTTACCTTTTGACAAACACTACAGAGTCCTCTCAAATAATTCATCCACAATACTAACAGTAGAAAGCTTTCTTATAAATATAATTTTCTGACTCCTTCCAAAGATAAATGGACTCAGCAAATTTGGCATCTTCATAAGAGTAGGCAAGGCAGGATAGTCATAAGGAATAGTATCAACAACCAAGCAGGTTGTATCATCCTTCAAACCTCGTGACTTTAGATCTTCCTGAATTATAAGACAGTCCAGACTCTCCTTAGATGATTATTCAAACTAAAAGAACAATGCTCTGTTTCTCCGAATGCAAATTGACAAAATAAAAGCGAAAATAGAACAAATCCAATAAATTAGACGAGTTCATATTTTTTGAGTGTCTACACTATTGCTTCCCAACTTTAGAGTACCAATCATTAGCCAGCACCAAAATCCTCAATATATCATAGTAATAAAATAAAAGAGGGAAACCATTTTAAATGCATTTAATTAGAAATTCAGTCGAGTGAACAAAATAGAATTAAACGCTTACCCAAAAATGCAGTACTCTTGATCAAAACATAAATAGATCGGAGTGCTGAAAGTTACATGAATCAAGTCCAAAAGCAAATCCCTTGTAGGCTGGTGCAAAGCTTGCGTCTTACTGCTATAACTGTTAAATGCTTGAGAATTTCGCGAAAAATTATACAAAGCTTGCGTCTTGCTGCAGAAGTATCATATGTGTCTTGGGGGTTGGGGAAAGGGGAGAAATTGCTAGGGTTTCTCAGAGAAGAACCTAGACTTTTTTTTTTCTTTCTAAAAGGAGAACGCTAGGGAGCTGTTAAATTTTTTTACTTTCAGTTTGTAAAATTTAATAGTTAAAATTTCCTTCATTTGTTTTTAAACGTCACAAAATAACAGACTAATATTTCGATATTGCATTAAAAGTCTCAATAGTATTGACATTTTTACTAAAATGTCATTAATTTTACGACATTACTTGAAAAATGTCAGTACATAAGCGATTTTCCGACACTTATTATACATGTCATTAATTAAGTGTCATCGTAGGCCTACTTTCTTGTAGTGCATTGAAAATTAAACACAAACAAATATAGTTTGTGAGAAACCCTTGATTAATCAAAGGACAATATAAATCAGAAACTTAAAAATAGTTAAAGCAGGAAGGAAAGACGCACATAAAAAAAGGGAATACTCTCAAAATAAGAGTTCATACCGGTGATTCGGTGAATAAATGAAGGAGCAACTGACTAATGAGCTTGAGAGGAACCCCGGTTGGAGAATGGAAGGAGAAGAGGAGCAGCGGTGGCTGTTTGGAGAAAATGAACTGATGTGTTCAACAGAATGACGAATTTATCAAACTCTGAATATAGCTAAATCAGCATCCCTAAGGGCAATAAGGATATTTAGAGTAGTAATATTAAAGTAGTGGGGTACACGTGTTTTCATAGGTGGTACATGTGTCATAGGAGAAGGAAAATATCGAGGGTTGAGTTTACAGTACAGTTCAGACAGCATTTCATACAATTTGATATTGCTTTGTTCGTACAGCTTAGCCATTTATATAGTAGAAACTAGAGGGAGGTTGCCCGTGCTATGCACGAGCGCAACATGTCAGACATTAAGATTGTCTTTTTCTTTTCAAGTGTTCTAGTGGTAATATTAGTAGTGCTCATATAGAAATGAAAATACATAATCATAACCAGTGGACCTTTTTTTGATACATCATGTGCACAATAGGACAATTTTCTATATATCATCTGTCAAATACATGAATCTACCAGACTGCTATTTTAATTTTTTCGTATTTCATATGTGCTATTGAGTGAAATCTCTTTTCTTATGAGGAGACAAGTGATGTTAATGCTTGAAAAATGGTAGTTAGTAAGCTGAGCTTTCAGGTGTGATCTCTACTGTATCTATTTTGTTTTCCTTTAAATTTTTATTTTTCATTAACTTTTTCAATTGTGATTATGATATGGTGTAGTGGCTTAAAATCATCCTAGAGCTGTTATGATATGCCAAACTAACTATAGAAAGGAATTGTGCAAGGCCTAAGTGAGACTTATGTCAAGCAGTTTATTCAGGTATTTAAAAAGAGATTTAACTACTGGTTGAATTTATTTTTTTTGTTGGAAACAATTTAGTTTAAACTTATAATTCTACCCTTATTGAGAAGCTTTTATAATCACACAAATACTCTGGGGCCCTTATTGACTTGTTTAGGACCACAAATTCTAAAAGTCTTTCATTTTTTCTTTATTTTCGTGCCCAAGATCAAACAGATTCACATAGGTAAACTGATAGATAGAAAAGGGACATGCAGACGGTAGATTTAATTTTGCGTATAAAAACACATTGGTAATTTCTGTGCTCTATTAATTTGTTTAGAATTTTATCTCCTTCCCATGATACCAATGGTTAGACTCTCTCTTCTATATTTGTATCTTCAATTGTCACGACCCAATTTCCATACCCGGTTGTGATGGTGCCTCTCGTGAAGACAAGGCCAGCCAACTAACCCAAATCCTTTCACTAACAATTATTAAACATAAATGAATAGAAGATACAACTTAATGGCATTAGAAACTGTTAATTACTACCCGACCGGGGCGTCACAAGTCACGAGCATCTAAGGCAACCTTAACACAACTACAGGCCAATAAATATATATAAGTAAAATTTCTGGAAAACAAAAGACAACATCCGGTGCCGCGAACGCTGGCGGTCACCTTGCTCAGCTACAATAACAATACCTTCAATCCGCTAATAACCCGCTACTGGGTGAACGATACCTACAACTGCACGCGAGGTGCAGGGAGTAAAGTGAGTACTTCCAACTCAGTGAGTAATAAACATATATAATGGCTGAAAGTAAGAAATTCCGAAATATTACAATATAAAGCTATAATCAGCGATTCAGCACATAAAACGGTAGAACAACAACAATACCAGGACAAGTAAGACAAATAGGTATAAATGCATGAATGCAATGCAATGCAATGCACATGACCGCTGCGGCGCACAGCCCGATCCATTTGGGTACCCGCGCTCACTGTGGGGGTTCAGACTCCGGAGGGGCTCCTACAGCCCAAGCGCAATATCATCGTAGCATTCGCTGCGGCGTGCAGCCCGATCCACACTCAGTCCAGATATATATATATGCATGCAAGCCACTTGGGCACAGTCAAATTGTTCATTTTTAGTTTCAATTATTAGGAATTATAGAGCTAAGTGTTTAAACCTTTATTTATTTACTAAACATTTCGAGGCAGTGTCTAACTCAGGACTGATATCATGAAATATGCTAAGCATCATGGAAGCAGTGATAAGGATCTCTGAAGGATGCAAATGATAGGCACAAAGCCCCAAACATATTCATAAAATCCAAGTAGGATGATTACCAAACAGTTTTCTAGTCAAGAACACAGTACGAACATTAATCGGAACGGACTAGGTCACAATCCCCAGTCACAATCGACCCCGCACTCGTCATAGAGTACGTGTCTCGCCTCAATATAGCGTCATAATGTGATATACCGGGGTTTCAAACTCTCAGGTCATCATCTACATCTATTACTCACCTCAAGCCGGCCCCAAGTCTGGCTCGCTATGCCCTTGCCTTTCGAATCAACCTCTTCGCACGACGAATCTGATTAAAACCACAACGAATACATTACAATAGACTAAAGAAACATAACCCAATCGAAAAGACTCGAAAAAAATACCAAAATTCACTAAGTTGGCAAAACCCGAGCCCCGGGCCCACTTCTCGAAAAATTACGAAATTTACATCTCTGGATTTCTCGTCTCGCCACGAGTCTACACATACCAATTTTACCAAAATCGGAGTTCTAATGCCCTTTCAAAATCCGTTTTTACATCACAACTTTTCAAGCCCTAGCTTGACCCGTTTCTGATGAATTTTCCACAATTTACATGTAATTTCTACCATAACTCGAATATTTAGACCAAGGAACTTACCTCCAATTGATTCTCAGTCAAAGCCCTCGAAAATTCTCGCTCAAAGCTCTCAAAACCGCTTAAAAATGGTAGAAACCAACTCTTGTTCGCGGATGAAATTTAATATTTTAAACCCTTCTGTAACAGTTGTTTTTCGCTTCTGCAGTCCCGCTTCCGCTTATGCGGGACCGCTTCTGCGGTCAGAAGTCCGCTTAAGCGGTTTTCATTAAAACCGCCATTTTCGCTTATGCGACTCCAGATGCGCTTCTGCGGTTCTCTCAACAACCGCTTCTGCGGTAAAATATCCGCTTATGCGGACCCGCTGAAGTGACCATCCTTCCGCTTTTGCGGAAATTCCCTAACCCAGGCCTGACCGCTTTTGCGGTCGCTCACCCGTTTCTGCGGTCCATTTCCGCAAAAGCGGAAATATCAGATGACAGCAGCAACAGACCTGCAACACTCCTCAAAACTCTCGTTCAACCATCCGAATTCACCCCGAGGCCCCCGGGACCTCAACCAAAAATATCAATACATCCTAAAACCTCATTCAAACTTGTTCTCATTCTCAACACATCAAACAACGCTAAAACCATCAAATCACATCGAATTCAAGCCTAAGTTTCTTAAAAACTTCCGAATTACGCATTCGATCAAAAACCCGACCAAAACACCTCCGAATGACCTGAAATTTTGCACACATATCCAAAATCACCTAACGGAGCTACTGCAACTCTCGAAATTCCATTTCGACCCTCGGATCAAAATCTCACCTATCCACCGGAATTCGCCAAAATGCCAACTTTGCCAGTTCAAGCCTAATTCTACTCCGGACCTCCAAAATCACTTCCGATCGCACTCCTAAGTCACAAATCACCTCCCGAAGCTAACCGAATCACCGGAATTCACATCCGAGCCTTCTAACTAATAAGTCAACGTTCGGTTGACTTTTCCAAACCAAACCTTCCTTAAAGAGACTAAGTGTCTCATTTCCTATCCAAACCAATTCAATTCAACTATAACTCACTCGTTGCTGATAATGAAACATGAAGAAGCAGTAAATTGGGGAAACGGGGCTGTAATACATGAGACAACGGGTCGGGTCGTCACAAGAATGGGCGGAAAGCTTGCCTCGAAGTTAAAATGAAAGAAAAATGTAGAGGTAGATAGATTGAACATCAATGTTGAATGAAGCTTGAGTACTTAGCATCTGACCATAGTATGGAAAAGTAAGCACATGTAGGGAGTTTAGCAGAAGATGCTCGTAAGAATATGGGACGGTAGAAGATGCTCTTCTTAATTCCTATATTTGTTTGTGTGACATAGATATTGCCAGGAGATATTTAAAATCTGCAGTCAATAAATGACGTTTCTATTTCAGAAAGTTTCTTCTTAATTTAATTTTTTTGTAAGTTTAATATAAGCAAATTATCCAAGTCCACTAGATGTGGAGGTTAAACCTACACTACTAAATGAGGAGGTTTAACCTAAAGTACTCTTTCTAATGTCATATTACTTGACTTATTTTAATCACAATGTCAAATTTATTATAGGCCACTAGCATGCAGCAAAGGTACTACTATGGTAGGATATCATATGGAATAAGTTGGACTGAAGAAGAAATATACATACTCTAGCAGGGTTGTGTAAGTTGAGAACTCCGTCATAATAGAAGCCTTCACCATTTGAGAATATTGAATGCTTTCTTTTGCATTTCTATTTGGTACCTTGTATGGCACTAGTCCATAAATACCGAATATTTTACTTCGGGCCGTATGTTATCCTAACATGTCAAACTTGGACGAAAATTCATTTTCTTTGACTTGCTTCCCCTCTCACATTCACGAATTTACTCATCACTTGTTTGAAATAGCATAATGCTTATAATCTCAAAGTAATCCCATTCCCGAACTTACGTCGATTAACATACGAAAATGCGGGATGTAACACACGAAGCCACAATTGCACCAAATGCTCTCTCGAGCATGGGTTCTCACATGCAAATTTAACTACTTTACCAGAAAAATCGGTGTTATACACTGGGAGGGGTGATGGTTTCACGTGCCCCATAGCCTCTCCCAGTGGATCCGCCCCTGTAACCAAACCTTCTCTATTAGAGAATTCACTTATCCTTGATTGAGTTTCCAAGGAGCTTATGATGTCTTGGGCACTAAGTAGAGCAACACAGCAGGATATTCAATCTATCTTAATTCAAATAGAATAGTATGATTCAAATCATAGAGTAATTGGATTTAAGGGACACAAATCAATTGTTTACTACATTAAATCAGTTTTCTCATCCATTGGCTTCATACTATGATTCTTTTTTTGATTATTAGCAATTACTTTTGCAAATCGATACTGCCAATATTCAAGACTTTAAAGTTATAGCTCTCCCAAGAAATAGCATTCACAACCCAATCTTAAATATAAACAATAATAATCACCAACAACAAGATAAAATCTTGCCAAGAGATTCAAACATTGAATGGAAAGGGAAAAGAGAATTCAGAAAATTGCAAGAGGAGAAGAAAGTTCTGCGAGTAAATTAAAA